CTTGCTGAAGGATTGCCTTCTCACTCAGAAAAAAGTGCGTCTGTCTGCAAAAAAATCAAAACATCTGCAGCACCACATTGCTGCTTCAAAAGACCGAGCTCAAATAGTCCCTGTGGTCTCAAAACCACCGCAAATGTCTGCGCAGCCAGTCATGCGCTCTCCACGGCCGCAACGAGGCGTCTGTGACACGGGTGGCGGACCTACTCACTTCGAGAAGATTCCAGTAGCCTTTCGAAGGTGGGTTTTTACTTCATCAACTCTTGTTATGTACTTGACTGAGGCCAGTGCATCTTCCTTACCTCACTGGTATCGAGTGCTCAGAAACCCTGCTGGGACTGTTGCTTTAAGCGTTCATGCACAACTATTGCTTACGTACACATGTTGGAGTCAACTCAGGTGTGGTAGATCGAGAGATGTGAGGAAGTAGGTAAATTGATGGTTACATTTTGATATCGAAATTATGTAAGAGTTATAGGCGCCTTCCAATGAAATGACTTGTTTGCTTACCGCTAGAATCTGGCAGGGCAGATCTATCCGATGGTGGGGGATCACCACCTGATCTAGACCTCGAGTTTAGATTGTCGAGTAAATGATTAGCGCTGGTTATAGTATAGTCCATCAGTTGTGATATACTATCATAATGCTTTTCAGGTTGCGAATTCTGTAAATATCACTTTGTTGTGCGATTATGATGGAATGGATCAAACTTTCTCCCACTTTTTGTCCATTGTCCTCCATCGCAACCTACTCCGAGTGTGTTGAGTACAGAAATGAAACATACTCACTTGCTTTCATTCTTGGCACACTGATAACGGTAAAAATTTGTAGAGACGGCGATATTTTCTTAACACGTAACGTACAGAAGCGTTTCTGAGTGAGCGACCCTGTGTGCCGGGCGGTTTTTTCCCGCTTTCCGCGCGTGCGCCACTTGGGAACGTACGTCGGCACCCACGCTAGATTGCATACGCTTGTGGCGCTTGCGAACCATACCTTTGTGGCTGAACTTAAAATGAAGAAATTTCAAATGTTGGCCTCGTGGTCTTCCATCCTGATACGACTATCTAGTGAGAGGAGGTTTAATGAACAAATAGGAGCTATGCAGATATGTTTACGGACACTTCGAACCAGCAACGAACGTTTGTAGGATCTCGGACCGGGGTACCATGACTATTCCTCCAAACATACTGAAAATTTCAACTATGAAGTGAATGGATCAGACATTCAACTGGGACGGTAGTAAACTTCCTTAAAATCAGCGATTACGACAGTTTCAAGAAGGGTTCAAAGGAGACATGACGGTACGCCAGTGGCGAAAAAAGCGCAAAACGGGACCTCTTCTCAGGCCGTTGGTTTTCACTCATGAACAGGTAACAGCTCAGAAATCGGACGTATGAACGAGTTCACGCAACGCGTTTGGTGGCACCATGCCAAACCACGCTCAATCGAGATGCTCCAGTTGTGCCGCTGCTGGCAACGCAGCTCGTCCAAATCACCAACTAAACTAGTGGGCGGATCGCTTTTGGGGGCGGAGTGCTTTCGAAGTCCTGCTCAGCAACCAGCGCACCTTTCGTCGTGAAAGCGCCACACCTCGCTTCCCTGGCAGCCAAGTGACTGATTCGTGTGGTGCATATGTTTCCCTGTCGTGATTAGCTCAAATAAATAAAACTCATGTTTAGCTAACGCGTCCGCAGCGCTTCCCATCACATTAATTCACGTTAATCCCATAGCAACATTAAGAGCGGGAAAACCCATTTAAAGTGGGACTTGAAGAGATGACATCTGTGGGTAATTCGTAATTAAGCAGAGAAGGAAAGTCAATGAGACTGAGGAAGCGCAGAGACACGATGACCCTCCAGTAAAAATACTCCAAAAGACTTACTGGAAAGTCGTGGTACGTGGCATCCTCCTTCTGAAATCTCATTATCTTTTCCGGCTTCACTAATTAGAAGTTTAAGAATGCTACTGCAATCGCATAATCCTCAGCTACCTTGCGAAGCTGTCCTTCATTCATTGACCGTACCGTCTTTATATTATGACGTCATCTCCGCTCATCCATGGAACTCAAAGAAGCTCACAATTATTGCTCTAGCCTGGAGCTGCTACATAATTTTCCGACCGGTTAGTGGTAGAAATAGTTTCTTCCAGAGACATCAACTGTGACTACGCAAGTTCGCTTTTGACCGGCTCTCAAGTGACGTCGTAACGGTCAATAATCCCTCGAAGATCTCACTGGCTCGTACCGTGCACCACGTTTCCGTGGGAAAATTTTCTGATTAAGTCGGTGTTGGCATGTGCTATTTTTTTTTTCCCCCCGAACAAACTTTCAATCGGGCTCGTTCGGTTTGGATTTGGCAAAGTGTTATTAATACTGTTTTGAATGTAGAGGGAAGTGACTTTCTTTGCCCCCACCCCTGTACGAGATCAGTATGGAAAATATTTGACTCTCTGGCAAGACATAGCCCACATGTGGGCCGCAGACAACAATGCGTTTTTTGTTGCTTCCTTTTGATTGTTCGATGCTTTCAGGAGAAAGTGATTAAGAAAAGCTGAGTAAAACAGCAAAACCGTGGCTCATCGGAGGTGGTAAATGAGTTCTCTCGATTCTTCCTCAAGTGACTAATAAATAGTTGATTGTGTTGCGTGTGAAACTCCATCCGGCTTCCTCATAAGTGAAGGCTATATGGAAATCTCAGGAGAAAGAATGGCTCATTTTTCTGCAACATGCAGCGAACAGGTTGACGTGAACAATGTCATCAGTTTAGCCTCGATGAGTGCATAGATTGTTCGTTCTTCACAGTGCTCCTTACGAAGGGACATTGGAAGGGTGGGAAATCTTTGGAGACACTGATCTTCTAAACAACTCCGTCACGCATAAAGACCGCGTAAACCCATGAGGCTCGCACTGACGTGGGCCGCGGCCGTCACTTGATAGATAATCGAACGTGAGATTGCCTGCCCAGCATATTTTGGCCCGTATCTTAACGTAATATTTTGGAATCAGCCCAATCTGCGGCTTCTATCGAGTGCGGCGGTCATGTCAAAAATCCACAGACACGCCTAATCTGACTTCGAGATATGGACTGTACGTTTTGCTTCTGCCCCTACACTTTCTCTGTATGATAGATGACGTGCCTCCTTAGCAATCTGTGGCTTAATGGTGACTGTAAATATTTTGTATACTTTCGCGTGAACCTCGCTCCCCTTCTAGGCCTGAATAATATTCACTCCTACTCTCGCCCCGAATTGTATCTTATGTATCATAAAGAAACACATACCTCATACAGAAAAAAAAAACAAACAGGAGCTGGCCTGCGGCGGGTCCTGCTGTGCTGGCATAATGTAGTTGCCAACAAGTGGCTGCAAATGGGGCATATAGTTGCCGCGCTGTCGTCAAGGTGCTAATACAGTAGAAACACAAGGCAGAAGAACCAAGTAACTACAGGGTGTCCCATAAATATTGCACCAAATTTTGAGCTCAAATTCTGCAGGTGTCTATAGGTTTTCTTAGCGGTAGGCCGTGAAACTAAACAGCACGCAATGTCACACTGCTGAAAAAGAATCGTTGTCCCAGCGCTGATTTGCATCATGAAATATCCTAACCATCATTTTTATAGCCTCCCCACTTCTGCTGAAACTCACCGCTTGATACGGCATAGCTCAGAAGTGAAGGTAGTGTATGTAAACAACCACCATGCCTTGAATGTCAGCGTGATTTAGCGGTCGAATAATATTTGATGCTAATGATGTTGAGACAGAAATGCCCATTGATCATTATCGCATTTCTTCAGACAGCCTCTACACACATTCGCAGGAAATTTAGGCAAAGTAGCGGTCGAAGAGAGTAGCGAGTATGATGCTGACTATGGAACGCAAACGATGGAACGCAAATAAAATAAAAATGAAATGGGTAGTGATTCTCATCTGCTATTAGGTTTGAACCGCCTAATGTTTTAGCTACATCGTTATTATGAGCTTTTATCAACTATTATCATTCTCGGTCCATCACCAAATATGTTCCCGTCCCACACTCTACATCAATTGACGAATCCAGCGCTTCATTGCTGCTGTGACACGCAATATTCATTTGATGACTCGTGCCTATCGGCGCCCCTTGTCAGCCTTTATCAGCTGTTATCCATATTCGGTCCCGCACCAAATATGTTCCCAAGTCTACCTCCAAATAACTTGCGGAGCCGACACCTAACTGCTGCTACGTGCGCTATGAATTTCGTGAAATTTGCCTTCCAGCGCCTCTTATCAGCTATTATCAGTCGTTCACTTTTGACCCCCACCAAATATGTTCCCGTCCCACCCTACACATAACTTCTTGGAACCAACACTCCACTGCTGCTGGGACGTGCGCTATGAATTTCGTGAAATTTGCCTTTCAGCGCCTCTTATCAGCTCTTATCAGTCGTTATCACTTTCTGACCCCCATCAAATATGTTCTCGTCCTGGCTAAGAATTTGGAGCGAAATGGTTGACTTCTATTGAAAATATTGAAAAAATAGTAGGCTGAAGATAATTTAGAACACACTGTATTCTCAAGAAATCCGAGCAGGGAAATGTCAAACACATCCAAAAAAAACACCGCCTGCAGCACGTAGCAAAACAGGGCGAATAACCTGCACATGGCGCGATCACAGTGAAAAGGTTAGGTAAACAAGAACAAACAAGAACAGCCAACGGGTTAGGTAAACAAAAAAATCAAAAAGCAGCTTTCCGTGACATTTATTGGATTCAGCAAACCATATTAACATCAAAGTATTACGTATGACATCACATGGAAAGCATGGCCGATACCACAGAAAGAACAGAATCAATCAGCAAATCCTGTGCCGCATTTCCGATTTCCCCACGACACTGTTGAAAAAAAAACCAATCACTTTTGCTGCATTTAGGAAACCAGTGGAGCACATCAACTGTCATTGCTGCGGCAATGATAGCTGACGTGCTCTACTTTTATTCATTGCCTCAGCTTGAAAGCCGGACCTGAGCATTCATGCTTGTGTCATAGCTAGAAAAATTACCTCAGGACATGTAGCTGGCGACTCGCCGCTCTGACTTTGCCAGTTTGAGATGCACTCGAAGCAGAAGTGGTGGTTGCATGGACTGACACTGAAATTATCTGCTGCATTTAGAAAATCAGAAGAAGAAGCTTCTACAATAGACAGAATTAAAAGAAACGACCGGCTTTTGGGGCATATTTTAACACATTGCGTACCGAGCCGTTTTTGCGGTGGCCAGCTCGCATGGCCGCGCGCTTGCGCACCGTGCGTCACATGGTGGCGCATGCGGCCACACGGGGCAGACATTTTTCGAAAATTCTCTTTTGAGGGTCCTTTTCACACTTTCTTATCCTTAGTATTGGGTTAAACCACAACATCATAGGAAACGGCGTCATATTTTTTTACTTATTTGGCTAATGTACTGTTTAGAATTAACAAATGATTACACAACAACGATTGAGAAGGATCCAAAAACGTGGTTTGTCCAACTTCTCATGCCTTATAACACAGCGACGGCGAGCTAGAAGTCCCATTACCCCACAATCTGCTGTGTCATGTTTACTGAACAGCATTTACGATTAAATGAAGTTGGAGAATATTTTGCATTCCACCCTTCGCAGGATCTATTGAGGGTGTGGATACATTACACCCATACTTGCCGCACATTTATTCACACGTTCAATACCAGGATAAAGCGATTCAGCAGGGGTGTGCCAAATAAGGTTAGTTCGGCAGTGGCTTAGTGCCACGCGGCTTCGAAGACGTGCAAGCTGGAAAAAACGCTACGACAGCCTTAACGCGGATGTTTTGCTGTTATACCACTTTCTTTACTTGAAGGTTTTGGTTGAAACTCATTCTTGCGACGAACTTGTATTACGACTAAATTGTCTGACTGCTAAACTTGCTTGAAGAAATGCTTTATTCAAGCAAATTCAATTAGCAAACTAGCCTCTTTTGAAAATATCATTTATTAATATTAACTAATTATCTGGAGACGTCCCACTCAGATATGTTGTTCTCCTAGTGAGAAAACATATATCTGCATAGTCATGGAATAAGAAATACAGCTATTGTGGACAAAAACATCGTGTGCCACCATGTGACGCACGCGACGCACGCGGAACGCAATGTGTTAAGCAGTAGGTGTCTGCGCCAGCAGTGGTGGTATTGTTTGAAGTCTGTAATGATGCAATCCTACAATCGGAGAGCGGAACCTACTCCGGGTGAAGTTCACCTATTGGGCTCGCTGAGCTGCACGTTCCCACTGATGCCTCCGTAGTTGCTTGGTAGACTGCGCACTCCTCAACCCCAGTGACCCTTGTCAAGCCGATCGAAACAACGACTTTTAGACAGCAAACTTTGGAAGATGATCACACGTGTCCTTCGAGCCACCTCGTCCAACTCGTGAGAATTCCATCTTCCCACCATGAACAATTCTCCATGGCTCAAAGGGGAACGACACATGGTGGTATACTGCAGTTTGATATTCACTGAGGACGCGCTGCCTTCAAGAAGCTCTTGCATGGGTTCACTATCTACGGTCATTGGGTGTCCGAAACGTGGTTCGTCTTCAGGGCCGAACATGAAGGCAAAGAAAGCTTCCCGAACCACTTTCAATAGATAATCTCATTTAGCAAATCGAGTTCCTCCAGATACACAATATTCCGACAGGCTCCTCTGCTGAGTGCCCCAGGCGGAACTCGTAAAATAGACAGTGACGAACATGTGTTGAAATGGACGGCATTATTTCTCCCTAAAGACGAGTACTGACGGTCGAATTTTATAATATGAAAGGACACTAAGGTCGCCACATACTCCTTTGCGGGAACAACACGACATCGTTTGGACAAGATGGCGTGGGTATGAAGAAATCGGGAATTACTTATGACTCAATCTAATGATAACGGGGGGTAACTTTCCGAACAACCCAATACTTTCCGGTACGCACGAGCTTCATCACAGTCATTTCCTTTGAACTTCCTTACACCAAAGGATCACTACGCAGCCCACAAGGAAGGATTCAGCACATGTATTATATGTATTAGCCGTTGACTATTCTATAATAGCATGAGTGGAATCAAGCGAATGTGACATTCGCTTTGACACGACCATCAAACTGCAACTGGCTGTGCAATGAGAACTTGGAAACTTCACTCACGTTGCCGGATTGTGGAATACGTCTTGGCAGATGCTACACCTGAAGTGATCTCGAAGCCCTCGGAGGGCTTCAACCATGCCCTTTACTTTGGTTTTGAGCTCATCCGTTTTCTAGAAACTTTCCTACAGACTCTTTAACGTTCATAATAAGAAATTTAAGCCTTTCAGTACCTTCAAATTTTCACTTTCAGATGTTGTCGCGGATGGAAGCGAGAGGCGTCCGAGTTGTGCCCTAGGAACACGGTCAAGTGATATGTAGGAAGTGGAAAAAAGATGTGTAAAGGACGCAAAATATCGATCAAAGACTACCGATAACCATTGTCAGAGAGGGAAATGTTGGGATATCTTCGGCGGCATCCAGGACGCACAGAGTCTTCTCGAAATTGCTGTTAATCTAAAGAACGCAGATGAAGCCGATCGAAGTTTCACTTAGCGTGCCGAATGAGTGCGAGAATAGAGAAGTGTCGCGGCGCCCCCCCCCCCCCCGCTCCCCGCCCGCCCCCCGTTTGTTGTGTTTTGTTTGGTCGGCTGTTGGGGCTTTTGGTGGGGTTGTGAGTGATGAGTCCAAAACGGCCCCATTGTATTATTCTAAGGCCTAGCATGTATGGCGCCCATTGAAATGAAGCTGGTTCCTTTCTGTGCGCGGCACACTTCTATATAGAGGGATTTGTACAACTTCAATGTATTGTTTAGCGTTGTGGCATTGAAAAGCTGAATATTGAATATCTTTTGTTCAATGAAACTGCCAAAACATGTATGAGTGAATGAAAACTGGAACTTCGAATTTTGCAAATTTTGCCACCGAAGATACTCGTACTTAGGTATTCGCACATCTTCGGCTATTCAAGATCCATTTGGTGAGAAAAAGACTCTGATTGCCATGTTTCGAGCGTGGTGAATGGAAGCACCTTAGGCAACCCGTCTGTTTTTTATATCAAGCAAGTATTTTTCGTATTGTATTGTATTGCGGACATCCAAGACGAAACTACAAGAGAAATTTCCAACCAACCATCCACTGTTTTCTGGATAGGGATTCTTTTGAACCTTGAAGGATGTCGGCCATCAGTTTCTCACGGACTGCTTCAATCTAAAACTCCAAAGCATGTCAATCAATCTTGATCTAGGTAAAAAAAGTAAAAAAAAACTTTTTGTAGAGCCCGAAAACGTTCCCTCTTGCAGGGAGACGAGGTAGGCGGAAGACCCATGCCAAAGATTTCTGAAATCTTCCTGATGAGCAGAATGAGCTCTTATTAACTTCCGTCACCTTCTCCGAAATATTAAGTTACTCACCATTGCTGACGGGCTAAATGGAGGATTCCACGATAAGGTCTGAAGTCGAAGAATGGGATCAATATATGTATACCTAGTCGAAGGGCAGGCAGGCCCTCTGGGGAGAAACTGTCCGTTTCAGCGAACAGCATGCCATCAGTGGCCTATGGGCCATACCCGCGCCGCTCGCACATTTGTATGTACCCTTCCTGATCTACATAGTCTGACAGGACCTGGACCCTGCTAGGCCTGACCAGGTCGTGGTTTCTTTCAACCTATTAATCATACCGATTTCTGAAGGAGCTCAATAGGTGAAGACCACGAACACCTATACCTTTTCCAAGCTAGGTGTGTGTTCCTGCAAAATCTCAACAGACTTGTCCAAGCCGACTCCTCAATTGCAATAATTTTTTCTCAGTATCTCAAAGGCAAGAATAAGGATAATATTGGTGGGTTGATTCCACTCCATGTGAAAGTGTTTAGGGTGAAATACAATACAGAGTGGCGGTGTCTATATTTCGTAATGTCCCCAAAGTACAATAGGTGGCGAAAAGAATCACTATCCATAGAATATTCATGTGCACTACCTTGTTAGAGACTTTAAGAGAGTCATGCACCATATTTGGCCATTTTGCATCGAACTAGCTAGCTAAACAAGCAAAGAAGCGAAACAAATGGAAACAGCTAGCTACTCACGACTTTCTCCCTCAAGGTTTCACTGATTCCTTCCACGCATGAAAAGAGCGATTCGTGTGACATCCCTGCGCGAGTGAAAGCGAACGTAGAGTCTTAGGGATACTGCAAAAAATAACTTCAACGAATTAGGATCTAAAGATAAAAAAAAAAGGTTAAGTATTATAAAATTTGGTTAGTTACAATCATTTTTTAACGAAATACGAGTTTCAGAATTTCGATCCACGAGTTGGTGCGAACTGGGAATAGGCCGCTGAGGAATGGCTGTTTTCAACTAGGCGATTTTGATTTCTACTAGTTTTATTTGACCAATATATCTCATTTCACGTCCTCAACTTCATGTTTCCCTTTTCACGCCAGAGTCCTAGTCAGCTTCCAAGGTATGCTCACGTAGGCTACAAAGAGGGAATTACGTTAGTATTGTAATCCTGCAACCGAAGCATATTGTCCTCCATAGTTGCTTCCCGAGTTTGATAGAGTTTGGAATGATAGAGAAGAGAACCGAGGATTTTACGCTTCGATTTAAAACATTTCTACTGATCCGCAAAAGGATCGAAATCAGAAGTCATTGCCATACATAGTCGTCATCACCACCAAGTGTTATCAGAGTTCTCCAAAAAGGTCATTAGGGCAACCAGCATGGAATACCATGTAGTTTTTCTATATCCCGCGAGAAGGTGTTTTACATTTTGGGGGGGGATGGCTAAACGAAGATACACTACATGTCAAGCAGTCGATATATTCTTTAAGTTAGCATGGAAATTGATTGAATTCAAAGAAAGCAGGAGAGTCTATAGATATGATGCGAGAGCCAAAATGGTCGTGTGAACAAGTTATCTGTGAGAGAGAGAGCTCGCGAGTACTAAACTTGTGCCGGCTGTCGCGTCGGCTCAAATGCTTGACGGGCTGGCTAGGGTCCAGAGAAGTGGGGCTGTGATGCTGAGATGTGAGACTAGCGTGTGGATTACCATAGCGGCCAATGCAGATACGAGTCGATAGGTATAGCCATGCAGTAAGCAAGTACAGACAACTCGTCCGGAACGTACCTCCCTCATTTTAGAGGGGAATAGAGAATCTTTGTTCAAGGGCTTCACCGACGGTTAACTTTGCTTCTCTTTTTTCAGCCAACGCTGGCACTCACAATTCATCATCGTCAGCTGTCACCCTACCAATTTAATCTGGGTTGTTAGGTAAAAGAAATAGAAGAAGCGAAACTGATGCGGCTAGCCACATTGCATGCATTTTGAACTCGTGACTCAGCGATGTGGTACGCACAATGATATATTGGCGCTGAATGGCTATAGTACGCGTTGTCTCTACTCCGCTGACCAGTCTGCGTCTTTGCCTTCTCACCGCGCGACGGACGTTCTGTAGGATGAACGTGGCCCTAATTGTGCCCTCTTCCACAGAAAAGGGTTGAACCTTGGTCAAATGATTCTCAGTGCTTTGACAAGTGATGAGAGTAGTGCGAGACCAGGCTGCAACTTGTTCCACAGTGTCCTTGTGTGAATGGCAATCAACGTCATCACTGATGAGAAGTAACCATACGCCAGTGGTTACACCGACAAGAAAGGCCGGAAAGGTTAACAAATTCAGCAAGAGGTTGGACCACCATTTTGGTGGGTGTTCACGGATATAACACTGGAAAGCACCCAATCGCTTTAGCATTGAAGCTATCAAGAACTGCTGCGATTAGCGGCGACTGCTATGAAAAAGCACAAGAACTCTTTCTTCGAATCAAAAAAGAATGTGAAGACAAACTATTAGACAAAATGTAAGTCGAATCATTCAAGAATTATTCACTTAAGGCATTTCGAGATAGGGGTTGAGTCATTTATATGTTGCCACGGAATGAGTCACGCAATGAGTTTCCAAATTAGAGTGTGAACAAAGCAAAGTTTATTTCTGCATGAATTCAGAAGTCAGAAGTCTGAATCTGCCTGCAGTCCGTGCACTTACACTCCCTTTCAAAAACGAGAAGAGCGTCGGGTGCAGACCATACACCACAAGTGACGACGGCCTCCAAGTAAATCTGGTTAGTAGTGGTTCATAGTGATAGCTGATTTTTGGTAAATGATAGTTGTAATTAGTGACAACTGATAGAATACAACTGCAACAGGCTAATCATTTCATTGGCAGAAAACATTTACATTTTGTGGAGGCCGTCGTCACTTGTGGTGTATGGTCTGCACCCGACGCTCTTCTCGTTTTTTGAAAGGGAGGGTACTTAAACCAGCGATTTGAATATGTAGACGGAATCTCATTCACATTCGCTGAAACAAGGGGTATTATTCTTGCCCTGCTACAAAAATGCTTTACGGGCAACAAATAACCTGGTATGTCATGAAAATATTCATGATCAGCGGGCTGAACGTTTTCCCCATACACTTTTCAAATGAAAGTTTGGTGAAAAGCGTACGCGCCATGCCGTGCGCGACAAAAACAGACAAAAGTCGACAAGCTGGATTGCAATTAATTTGAGTATTCAGCATCTCCTATCCTGTTACATTACATGTCCCCTACTACAGTGCGTACCAAAAGTATGTGGACACCCTGGAATCGATTCTCAGGGGTCAGCTAAAGGCTTTTATGTCATGAAACCTTCCACCATTCAACTCCTAGTGGTCGATAACCTACAATGATATTTTCGGCAAAAGATTTCGTTCTAACTTAGCGAACTATTTTTCATGGAAAGTTTTTTCTTTGTATCAAAATTATGTGGACACCCTGAGATATACGAAGCTTCTGCACCAATATTTCAACGAATTACTTTTTCCTCGCGTTACTCTCATTTCTGCCCCTCATTCCTGCTGTACGGCAAGCCTGTCCCTAAGACCCAAGCAACAGACCACGGAATCCTCATGTTGCCGCCACGTCATACTTGCGGAAAATAGCATGTCAACATGGTGATGCGTCTTCAATGTGTTGAAAATAGATTCAGCTCTCGACAGTGACTTAGGATCGTCCCCGATCGTCACTTATTTTAAAACAGCAGAAGAATAGCTCCAGATCCTACTTACTATAGAGCGCTTCGTCTGTCCCACGCATAGAGGTCTGGCGTGCATTCGAAAGAAATTCTGACACCATCGAAATGAAATGTACTGAACGACCGAGAT